CCTTGAGCAGCTGTTACGTCCTACACCACTTAGCCACAGACTTCTTGTAAAGTGACAAAATGAACTCCCTCTGTGTTAGGTTTTTCTCTTTAGTTGTAGCCAAATATATTGTTTCCGTAAAAGTCACTGATACAACAAACCTCTCTAGCCATGTTTGAATTTATCAGTGATCAACTTAACGAAAACCCCACAGCTCTTTATAGAGAGATAGTTTACTAAGCATGTATGCTATTACCCTGAGCACTTACTCCATGCCAGTAAGCACATAGGGCATCTTCACAGGCCTCCACCAGTAGTCACTGAAAGCCTGAGTCCAGGCTGATCTGAGGGCAGCTTCTGAGCTCTTCACTGCCAAGCTACATAGCTTCTCAGGTGTTTTGCAATGATTCTTCAAAGCAATTTTTACTTTTCATCCTGCTCTCTCAATCACCATCCCCCGAACAAATTTTCTGATTTTTCAAAGAAAACTCTCCTAAAAAATAAAACACTCCCCCACCAAAAAAGAAAAAAAACAAAACAAAACAAAAAACAAAAAAAAGGAACCACATACGATTTGTTTTTAATTAAAATCCTGGCACACATTTGCTTTCCAGTCTTTTGAAATCTTTATCCATCACGTGGAACAGTGTCACTGCTACTGCTACACTAGTATATGCCAGTGTCACGTGCCTGGCCCTGGGATGAGCATGTCACATGCATCCTCTCAGTCAGCGTCCACAGTGTCTCCTATGGGGAGGCCATGACAAGCTCCATTTCACAGGTGAGCAAGGAGAACATGTCAGCCAGCCTCAGCATTTTCTTTGAAAAAGTTTCTTTCTAAGCACCAATGAATAACTCAAGTGTAGAGCAACATGTAACTAGAAGAGAGATGAATTGATCTTACTGCCAGTATTTAGTAAGAATGTCAAAAGCAAATGAAAAGTACTCAAACCAAGAACACTCTGGTCCTGAGCAAAATCTAGAATCTCATGTGTCTAGTGGAGCTGTATTGGTGTGTACTTACCACCTTTACAAAGGCTAATCCACAGCACACACTGCAAGCTACCAGGAGGGCCAATAATATTGAGATAGTGATGAATGTCTATAAAACATAAAATCATTTTATTCATCTTCTAATAAACTTGATGTTCACTTTCAATCCAAGAATGTGTGCTTTATACACTATGGTTTATGATGAATATTGTTATTATGGTTAATTTATTTAGCAGTTCCTATGTGGCCAGCACTGTGATAGAGTTTACTTACTGTAAAAAAAAAAATCAAAAACAAAAAAAAATGTATTGCTTTTACAGAATAAATTTGTTGGAATATGAAAAAAAAGAGATAACATAATCGCTGCTTGCTCATACTTTTAGTCAATTATGGATGAGGACCTCTGCTTTGGTGGCTAGCAGCAGTAAGTAAGTGACCCCGGTTCTGCCTAGCCCTGTAAAAACACAACACAGGTTCCAAAGTCTTCCCAGCAGTGTGGTAAAAGCCCACCAGAGGTCAATCCCCCCCCATGTAAGTAACCTCCTCCCTGCACTGCCTTCTTCCTCTGCTGAAACACAGGGAATTCAAAACTACAAAATCGTCTGTGAGTCTAAATTTTATGTAGGAACATTGAATTAAGTGGTACACATATTTTTATGTAAAAAGAAAAATATTAATATAGGAATCCTGTGTTTGCCTCCCAGTACCCTGACACAGAGACCTGAGGCAGGTCTCTGACCCTCGTGACCCAATTTTTTCCTACTTTCTCCCATCTTTTCCCCAGTAACACTCTCCTCTCCTTTTTACACATCTTAAATCAACTCACACTTAATTGACTTAAGTGAATAAGCACTATTCTCATATGAAGTATGAAATCAGAAGTTTGAAGATTAACATTAAAGGAATTAAAAATTATTTCCATTCATCACTAGAAAAAATGCTATTTAGGGTTTTCATCCCATAGCTGACGATATCCATCTAAAACCTAAGCCAAACTCAAAAGTAAATTCCTATTTTAAAAATCATTGACTAAGAAAATCAATAATCATTTAGATTTCAGCAAAAAAATGTCAACAATGTCAAACATTCTTTATGGCTGTTTTAAAGTAGTTATTAAACAAAAAAAAACCATAAAAAATAATTTCTCACTATACTTTTGGTCTGGTGGGTTTTATGTGTATCAAATACTTTAGTCTCAGTGATCATCAAAGAATGGTAGTTATTTCTTTGACTACTACCCTACTGCCCATATTTTAACCTCATTGAATTTTTGGTCCATTGCGTAGAAGAATTTCTCTACTAATAAAAATACAACCCATTAAAGATTAACTTGCCCCCAGGACAGTCTCTCTGAAAACAAATTCCAAGCATTATAATCACCAATTTACACTCTGAAGTCTTAAAAGCCAACAATCTTATTTATCCAGATTTCAGTTGGAAAATCCCACATATTTTAAAACAATCATAAGAGAAAAATGACCAGTTCAAATTCATGATAATCAGAGATTAAACCAAATACAACTTTTACTGACTGGACCATTTTCAAATGAAAAGCTTTCCACTGAAAAAAAACATTTAATAATGGTAGAACACTTGTTGATTTGCCGGACTTCCTACTTTAGTTTCTTCTGCTCTGCAACTATTTATCAAATATATGCCATAAATGTTGGTAGGCACTGGAAATCATTTAAATCCACGATGTAATATTTATTATTAATAACAGAAGCAATGATATTTATAAAGCTCATATCATTTACATACACTGTAGAAAGTCTTAGCTTATTAGGCAGTAACTCTTTCCATTCTCACAAAACCTAGGAGAAAGGTCTTAGTATCAACCCCATTATACAGATGGGAAAACTAAGGGCAGAAAGAGGCCCAGGAACTTTCCCAAGGTCCCACAGGGATTTGAAACCAGTGCTCAAATTGCTATAACCACTTGCTATAAAGCAATAAGCTACATGCTTATTTTTGGTTCAGGAAACTAGCCTTATTCCTTCAAACATGGTGGTTCTACATTATTTGACACTGGGAAGCAGGCATCATAAAATGCCTGGCACACTATTTATGCAGTGGGCTCTACTGTCAAGTTGTTCAAAGTTTACTTTCATTACAGGGATAATTCATTCATAGGTAATTTTGGAAAGTTAATTAGAGCACTATGTTCAATCACTAAACTACTATTTCATTATATATAGGTTGATGAAGAAATGTTAAGACTTTCTGTAAAAGAAACTTGATCACTGCAAAGCAATTTTAAACCAACTGGTGTCACCTGCAAAGTGGATAACCTTCAGATTTTAATAAATGCCTCATTCTTATTTCATTGTGTTCAAAATGAAAATGAATTAACTCAAAAAGAAATTCACTTCTAAAGCTCAGGTTATACATGTGTGTTTCCCAGAAGCCAACATTACTATTGTTACTTGCCTGGTAAAACAGGTAAGGATGTCTTAGTGTTATTAGAATATCTTATTAGAAAGATTACAAATCTTTCACATCACTCACTCCCAACTCATGTAAGGCACAAGATGAAAACTATTTGCAAAGGATGAGTATGTGGTCTTAATTCAGTCCAAACAATCTCACAGTATTTTTCCAACATAAATTTCTTATTTTGTTTTATACTCAGAAACTAGGGGGGAAAAAAGAATTATAGAACAAATAAAATAACTAAAATGAGTTGCTGAAATGCAACTAGAGTTTTAATTTTCAAATCTGCCTTGCAATACCCAGAAGGAATTCTCCTAGAAAGTTACATAATTTAAGGGAAAAAGAGACAGAGACATGACAAACATGAGGGATGTTTATCAATAAGAATAAGCAGCAAGGGAGACAAGTTTGCAGCACATCCAAAAACGCCTGCCAAACATGCCTGCTATTTGTTTCCACCAACTTATTATTTTGGAAAACATGTTGTTCTCTCTTAAAATAACCTGCTTAATTGTTCTGAAAAGCCACTGCACTTCAATGGAGAAGCTGCAATACACTGTCTGATAAAGTCAAATAAGTTATGCATAAAGCCACAAAAGTAAGTTTGGAAAGTTCCAATCCTAGCACTAGCTACTGAATGACTCTTCACTGCTCACCCTTGGTGAGACTAACGCCTGGCCCTTTTCACAAATCCTAGTACTAGTCATTCAAACTACCTCACTCCTCTCTTTGGATGTAGACTACAGGTAGGCTAGTAATTAACATTTTTAAACAAGGTCAAAATGACCTTGGACATTTGAGCATTCACTCCAATCCTCGCTTTACAAATCAGAATTTGTTTCCAGACCAGTATGGTTTAAGTAAGGTCTTCTTCCTGGGAGCGTCCTAGAGAAAATAAAGAGTTTAAAAAAAAAAATCCCAAATTGTGAAAGACAAAGTGAGACACCCACAACACAGGAAGATTTTTATGAACTGACTGTAACTCAAGATGTGTTTTATAAGCCTGTCAGGGGGGTGAACACACACTGTCCTCAAGCACCATCACTGCCCCGGGGACAATCCCCACGCTGGGGCTGCTCAGCTCATCCTGGCCCTTTGGCTGGGGCGGGGGATGGGGGGGCGCTCGCGTCTTAAGCCTTGACATCTACAGAGTTTCCCAATTGCGAGTCAAGGCCACTCAGCTGGAGGAAGTGGATTCTGACAAGGGGAGGAGAGGGAAACAGACACTAAAGAGACAGAGGTAGAACGCCCGGCGGCGGGAGAGCGAGAAGAGAGGCCCGCACACTCCGTGCGTCGTAGTGCGCCCGAGTGACACAGCCCAGGTGTCCCGGCTAGAGTTGGCGTCTCCAAAGTCTAGGTCGCGCCACGACCAACTCTCGGCCTTGGGCTTCTTTGATCCGGTCAAGCTAGCACAGGGCCCCGGTGCCCGGCAACCTGGAAGGCGTGGAAGGGCGGGAGCCCCTCGAGGTCTCCTTCCTAAGGGATACTCTGGCTCCGCGGGGCAGGGTCCAGGAGCTAAGCCTAAGCGGGGCCAGGGATGTCCGGGAAGCTGTCGGGGCGCAGTCCCGGAGTCCGAGGACGCGGGGGATGCCTACCTTGTAACATGGCCTCAAGTTTCTTCCTGTCCACGCGGAAGCGCTCCTCGCTCCACTCGGGGCTGTGCAGAGGCGCCCCCGCGACCAGGTCGTCCTCGGAGCCGGGCATAGGCGAATCGGTGCTGCGCTCACTGTTGGAGCCTGGGTCCGACTGCGCCGCCAGGTAGCCGGGCTCGCCCTGGGCGGCCATGGTGGGCGCACGGCGCTCGGGCTCCGGCTGCCACGGCCGCTCCGCCGGCGCCGCCGCCTCCGCTCGCCGGCCGGGCTGGACTGCCTCCCCGCGCCGCGGCGCTAGCTCGTCCCCGACGCCGCCGACGCCGCCGCCGCCAGGGAGCCCCCTGCGCATCCCAGCCTCGGGCGCCGCCCAACGCGCCCGCCCGCCCCCGGGTCCGCGGCCCCTGGTTTTGGTCTTCGTTGTGGTCCGGGCCCAGTGGCTGCGCCGCCCCCCGCAGCAACGCCCGCGCGGGAATGAGCGCGCGCGCCGCCCGCGCCTCCATTCGCAGGGCCCGGCGCCCCCTCCCCGCCCGCCGCCCCGGCAGCCGCGCGTTCATTGGCCCGGCCGGCCTACGGGGAGCCGCGGCGGGCGGGCGGACGGACCGACGCGCGGGCCCGCAGCCCTCGCGCTCGCTCGCACCCTCGCGCGCACACACCACGTACGCACGGCCACTTTCTGCGCCTCCACGTATAAAGCCTGTCCCACACGTGCACCCTCAGCTCTTCAAGCCGACAGTCGCCAAGTTCAAGCACACCGCTCTTGAATGCAGAAGTGCACACGTAGTTCATCATCCACACACACATCAGTCACTACTTTTCTGCACTTAAACGTGCACGTTCCATCACTCTACAAACTTTCACAGTCCTCCAAACATCGATACAAGCCAAGTTCAAGGCTGAAATGTATACGAAGGACACACACAACTCCTATAGACATCCACACTGTACCCTAAAACAGTCCCAGCCTGTCCCACAAGTTTGGACAGGAGGGGGGAGAAAAAAGAGGGGTAGAAGAAAAAAAAAGTGCATCTTTTGCAGGCATCACTAAGAGCATGTCTTGCATGCATCTCATTCGTCAAACTTAGGGACACTCTCATCTCACCCAAGTGGCCCACTTCGAAGGAGGTGGACAAAAGGCTTACTCTCCTTATTCCGGGAGAAGAGGCTTTTTTTTTTCCTCCAATGGAATGAGGAAGGAGTCATTTTCTTTGTGATTTTCAAGGGATAGGAGAAAGAGGAAAGAGAAAGAGGAGAGAGAGAGAGTCTTGGAGATTGCAGTGGTGGTTAACTGGATGCAGCAGGCATCTGGGCAGGGCTGTCTTGTCAGGACTAAGGGCTCCTCTCTGTTCTCAAAGTGAGTCTCTCCGGAAGGATGACCTCTGATTCCCCCACAATGTGGATATGAAACACCAAGGAAGAGAAGTTCTCTGCTTGCACAGGTGTGCCTCTTGGAACTGCATCTTCCAAGTCACACAGATTCATACCTTCTTTTGGTTAATGACCAAAAGCACAAAGAATTTTTTGTTATTCTAGGGAGGAAGATAAGGCAGCAGTTTGTCACTGTTCTAGAGAGGGAGGTTAATGGCTAACATCTGGGGCCAGCTTTATCATTGGCATGGGTCCATGGATAAGCAGGTAATATGCTTAGGGTAAGCTGAAACTCTTATAGGTCCAGTACTGACCTAACAAGAACTGACACTGGTGGGTACTGTGGTGTAGTTGACAGATGAGGAAAACAACTATGGCCAGCTAAATGATGTGACTGAAGTCACACAGCAGCAGATAATGGAACAAAATCAAGCCCTCAAAACCTGCCTTGTTGAGCAGATAATCCTCCTGCTCAGAGTGGCCTTAGGATGAACTGAGAACAGATGCACCACTCCATGTTCTCTTTCTCTGAATTTTTTCCTTTCTGTTATTGATGACTCTGCAAAACAGGAGTTTCAGCACCAAAAGGGTCTCCTAGGAGCATTCCCATGGCCTTCTATCAGGAATGTTTACCATCTTTTTCTGTCAACAAATATTTATGGGGACCGTATTGTGTTCTGGGCACTCTGTTAGGCCCAAGGAATAGTGAGCAATGAAGGACATACTTTGCTTCTGGGGTTGACATTCTACTGAGAAAGGTAGAATATTAACTAAAAGTAAATAGACCATTCAAATAAATATAAAGTAGTCTTACAGTAAGCATTCTAAATAAGAGATTTAAGATATGTACAAGTATCGGGCATGGTGGCTCATGCCTGTAATCCTAGATACCTAGATACCTAGATACCTAGATTGGAAGGATCACTGTTGGAAGCCAACTCAGGTAAAAAGTTAGCTTTTATTCATCTCAATGAATAAAAGCTGGATGTGTGGCTTGTGCTTGTCATCCCAGCTAGGTGGGCAGCTTAAATGGGAGGATATGTGTCTGAGACCCACCTGGGCAAAAACATGAGACCCTATCTCAAAAGTAACCAAAGCAGAAAGGGGCTGGGGTGTGGCCCAGTAGTATAGTGCCAGCTTAACAAGCTAAAGGCTCTGAGTTCAAGCCACAGCACTGCCAGAAAAAAAGATATAGAAAAAAAATCTGCAATGGAGTAACTAGACTCAGTCATAATGATCATTGAGTTTCTCCAAAAAAGTGTCCCTAGAACTCATAATAGAAGTTCTAGAAGAAATTACCCAGGAAGGAAAGTGAAAGGAAAGAGTCATGCCTGCCAACAATCATTTGACCACAATAACATCTGAAGCACTCATTGCCATTATCCTCATCTTACAGTTGAGGAAACTAAGGCACGGAAAGTAAAATGACTTGCCAAAAGATGCACAGCTGAATTGTAGAATCAGAACTTGAACTGAGGCAGTCTCCTTTGAAAATTGGACTTCAGCTGCTTTACATCAGCCTGTAAGCTACACTGGCTCTCACTAGGAGTAGACCAGCACAGATGCTATGGCAGGAGGAGGCAGCGTCCATTTCTGGAACTAGAAAAAGGCCAGCATGGCTACTGTGAGTAAACAAAGAATTAGGTAGTGCTAACTGGGACAGGAGATGCAACTAGAGATAGAGCATATACAGGCCAAATTCAGAAGAGGACATATTCAAATTTAGTCTCAGAACAAAAGAAAGCCATGTTAAGGAATTAAGTCAAAGCTCATGTATCTAAATTTGTATTTTAAAAAGATACCTGTTGCTACAGTATAGAGACCAAATTGCAGGGCAAAGACAATTAATACACAATGAAGGAAGCTTAAACCCTAGAAGCTGGTAGCCTATCTGGGTGGTGAAAATGAAGAAGCATGAAAGGATTTGTGCCACCAAGTAGATTGGTGGTAGATTGCACACAGGATGGTGCAAAGGGAAATGTCAAGAATTTTTGTATGATTCTGACTAACATAATTAGGTTAATTAGGTTAATCAGTAAATTTGGGTTCCATTACCAAAATAAGAAACACAGAAATAGAGTTGCTTTGGAGGAAAAATCATGAAGTTGAGTTGGGCATGTTGAGTATGAGGTGTCATAGAGACCTCCAAGAAGAGAAGTCAAGTTAAAACAAAGAAAATAAAAAGAGATGTCAAGTAAGCAATTGGATATATGGGTCTGAAGTTCAGTGATGTGATCTTGGATACAGAATATGTTCTTTGTTTGCTTATAGGTGATAATTCTAGGTATAAGTGTGGGTACGGCTAACTGGAGAAAGAGAAAAGAGAAGAAAAGAGAACCAAGGAAAGGGCCTTTAAAAAGTTCTGACACTTAGTAGTTAAGTAGACAAGAGTGCAATGTGTGAGAGAGAAGCAGAAGTGAGGAAGAATGAAAAAAAGAAAAAAGTTTTGTCACATAAGCCCAGGAAAAAGATTACATCCAAAATGAAAGAATGAACATCTCTGTACAACAGGGGAGGTCAACATTCTATCTTTATGGAAGACACTGAGCCAGAATGAAGTGATTGAGGAGTGGACATAGCTGATTAAATAGGGGTAAAGACAATTCTTGGGAGGAGTTTGATTGAGGAGAGACAGAATCATTAGGATAATGCAGAAAGTTCTAGGCCAGCCTTGGCTACATAGGAAAACCCAGTCTTAAAAAAAAAAAACAAGAGAGACTGAAAAAGATTCACTTGAATCTTTCAAGTATTAAGTATTCAAAAAGAAAGAGGAAGAGGAGGAGGTGGAGGAGGAGGAAGAAGAAGGAGGAGGAGGAGGAGGAATAGGAAGAAGAGGAGAGGAAGGAAGAAAGGAAGGAAGGAAGGAAGGAAGGGCTGATTTACAGAACTTTAAGAGCATGAACAGAATAGACTTCAAGACACAAGTAGAGTCCAGCAATGAAATAGTTTTCATAAAGCATATGTCTTTGTTGGTTTCTATCTAAGTACTTTGAGTTGAGAGTTAAATGAATAAAAGTTAAGATGAAAGAATGATTTCTGTGCATGCTGCTCTGCTAAACAGCTTTTTCATAAAATTTAAGCATATACTTGCAGAATTATATTTTTTCTTTGAGTCTTTGGATCTCAATTTTTTTTACTGTAAGGTGACTGAATTGGGTAACTTTCAGATTCAACATTGATGATTCAAAATTTATTTTATGTAATGTGACATACTCATCAATTTATCTCCTCTCTCCAAGCCTATTTCCTTGGCTTCAAACTGAAAAGAGGATTCTGCTGCTGTCAATTGCCTTTAATTGTATCAACAGAGTTTTAACTCTTTTTATATTCTTCCTCAATGTAATTACTCTACAGACATAATTGTCCAAACTATATCACAAATTAATTTCTAAACATATGTTTTTAGGAGCACAGTTCAAAACTTGTCAACCTCTACCAGGTAATTGCTTGTATAGGAACAGATCAGTAAACAATTTTTAATGGAGTATGGCTTTCCAATAAATAAATAAATAAATAAAAATCACTGGGAAAATGTTAAATAAAATCACATCAAACTTCAAGTTCACAAAATATAAAAACCCAAGAGATTTTTAGAAAAATAAAATACAAGTTTTATTTTACCTTAGAAATACATATCTAACCTTGATCAGTGATCACTTGATTAAAAAAAAAAAACTCCTCCTCAGAGAACATTTTAAAGAAAAATGAATTGAAAAACAAAAAGAAAGAAAAACAAATTGGCTTTCTTTGCCAGACCCTCTTAGCTTCTCTGACTTAGTTTCTTCTAAGTCAAAATATAACTTCGATATAATATAATATTATATCAATATAATATAATATTGATCCTGAACTTAGTGTTTTGTAATAGTTTCAGGAGTTTACATTAAAATTGTTTTCTATTTTAATTTAAAGTCTTTCAATTGTGTTTGAATAATCTCAACATATGGGCAGATACTAGTCGAGTAAATGCTCTGAGAAGGTTCC